TCTCCAGGTGTGCTGTGCACGCCACACACCAAGCGTGTAAAGTCTGATGAAATCCGATTATGAACCACCACAAACATATGTTCAGATCGCTTTTTTCCGTATGGAGACTCCGAAGTCTAAGAGAAGCGTCAAATTCATGCGCAGTTTTGTGAAGATACGTACCTATATTCAAAGGCTTTTTAATCTTCACAAAGGATTCGACGCTTGACATCAAAATTCGCCATTTTGTATGTTTCAGCTTTTGGGAACGGTGCAACTTGCGCTTGGTTTATTGATTATTCTCTGTTCTTGCTCAAATGATCGCTCAAAATCCCAATGGGTATATGGTATTGTTTGAGCAGACAATCGATAGTGGGACAGCTATACGGCTAAATTCCCGTAGAACCCAACAGGCTCACCTATATGAAACTACTCGGGAAATCCAGCTTGTCAGTTTTGCAGTGGAGACGCTTCCTCATGTTGATCTGCGTTGTTTTGTAGCAATTGCCGCTCGAATTTTTTAAAATCATAATTCAAGTAATTTGATATAAGCTTATGTTTCTGTTCAGACTTCAGAGACAATTATGATTTATGACCACCCAAAAATGTTCCACCGTTCCATAAAATGTCCGTTTACAAACGTTTAACAGACCAATTGTTTCAAAGACATGTTTACTGTTTATGCAATCGGCACAAGTAATTGCGTCGTTGATGGTTGCAACGACAGTTACAATACGTCACTAACCCGAAAGTGGTAACATTGTTTTCACATTGTGTCAGCTTGAGTTTTACCAGGCATACAACAGGCTAAATGCTTGTTTTCCTGTGTTTAAATGGTGTGCATTGATTGAAGAGTTTTAGATATAAGCTTCCTGTAGCCGATCAGGAAAACTCATCATCAATTCATCCAGCACAATGAAGGCGCTACTGATGAACGCCGCCAGGCGGTCAGTGTTCAGTCGCCTACGCAGAAATACTCTCCAGGAAGTGGATTTCTCACAAATATAGCTATGTATTGGCACAGCTGTGAGAACTCAGGGCCGCCCTGAATTGTTACCACGCGGCAGTCACCGAACTGTCATTGGCAGGCACCTTAGCCCGAACGGCGCTTTTTTGCGCTCGTGCTGAAGGGTGCGCCAAATCGGCGCGCTTCACCTTGTGTAGGTGCCAACTTAGCCGTCACCAGGGCTACATTCGCGTCCCGGTCCCAGAGCTATGTGTCATCGCCGCCACCCTATACCGCCCCCTCCCCTCCCTCACCACCCCAGCACCCCACCAAGACCCTGCGCCGTGCCAGCTCCGAGTCCGAACCGCCGCGCCTCGCGCCGACTAGCGGCCGGCTGAAGAGCGCCGCTTCGCGTCACGGGCCTGGCACCGGTGCCGATTGGCGCCGGCCGCCCACCGGCCACATACCGAGTCCATGGCCAAGGGCGCCACCGCCCGAGTGTCGCCCGAGACTATAGAGCTGGCACGCGACGGGTCACCCGCGGGTGAGGGGGCGGGGTAGTGACCTCAAGAGGTCGTTCTAAATTCGGCAAAATAGATGATGGATAAAAAAGGAATCGGTAAGTGTAAAGCGCCATTCTTTTACCGTAGGCAATGAAAAACAAGTTCTACTATTAAAATGATTATGTAACAATCTGGTCACTATTCTCGGCTTGGCCGTCCCCGGTTGGTAAAATGACTATAACAGTCATTAACAAATATTTGTTCTAACTTTTCTATAACTACACATTTACCATGGCCAAGACGCACTTAGTTAGGTAGGAAAACCTCTAATAGTAACATAAAAAGTAACTGCATTATTATACTATTATAAATTCATTCGACTGTTCTCAGCCAGAGACTAATGGTTGACTGTTGGCATGTTTCCAGCCCCATGTCTTTTTTATGTGGGCAGACATGTAAACAGCATGACTTATGACCTCAGTCAGGCTAATGATAAAATAATGAACAAAAGCAATACAAGAAATGGCAACACTTATCATGATACAAAAAAATATATTTTTGTCCACGATCAGCAATATGATTGTTCATTGACGGTCGACAGACTGCGCAATATTCCTTTTTTCGGGCATTTGGTATTAGGGCATTTCATAGGCATTGCTTGCAATTGCATAAGCAAAAAGCGTTGTAACTTGTAAGTACAATACACTTGGAAATAAATATAAAACACGTTGCAGCTAATATTATATAGTGAAAGGAACTAAGTATGATTGACGAAATATTTGCCCTAAATTGAACCAAGCTTATTTGTCATGAGTACTAATGATTCCCATCATCAATGAAGACAGACAAAGCAAAGCCTTTTGGTATCCCTAATTCACTATGACCATAATTTGGCTCCCGGGCATACTTTATTTACAGCCAAAGCTCCGACGATATACCCGTATGCCTCAACAATACCGCGAATTATAACTTTTACAGCCCAGTGTTGTGTTGCACCTCAGACCTGAGCTGCACAACTGGGCTATCGGCTCAGTATCGTGCAACTGATACCAGCCCTATAAATTACACCGTCGGTATCCACAGTGCATTTGGCTCGCAGCACGTCAGATACGGTTAGCGGGAAAGTATTGTCGACAACCACATGAGCCTTAATTACCGAAGTTTACATATCAAAGCAGGGATGCGGAGCCGTGGAAATTTCAGACGGCTCCGGCTCCGGCTCCGGCTCCGGAGAAAAAAATCGACTCCGGCTCCGGCTCCGGCTCCGGGTGAAATGTCATGGCGGCTCCGGCTCCGGCTCCGGCTCCGAATAAAATGATCCGGCTCCGGTGGCTCCGGCTCCGGCGGCTCCGACTCCGGCTTCTACTCAGTACATCCTCTATGCGATCAATTAAATACGGGTGGAAGAAAAAAGGCGATGGGATTGGTACACGTTGCTTCTGTATTTGTATAACAAGGCTATTTTGAATACCACATTGTTTTACGCCTTGTACTGTCAAACCGAATTACTGTTAACGCCAGACCCCTTGAGACCCTAATTTTTCGCGATTACTTTTAAATGCGTGAAGGAATTTCAACCAAGCTCAGGACATGGCCGTTTCAAGACAGGCCGAAACTTTTACAGTTTAGATATTTTATCGCCATTTCAATATTTCAGGCACTTGTCATTGACTCGTAATGTTAAATTTCGAGCAAGATTTTCATCCAGTGTGTAGAGGCTATCACCAGTCAGTCTGTGATACGTTATGACGTCACAGCTAAGCCCCGCCTCTGTGGTCTTGGCCTGCGGCGGTTTCGGGCCGGCGCGCGGTCACTCTCGCTGTGGCGGGGAGCGGGGACGGGCGACGGTCGAGCGGTGCCGAAAGCCGGCGGAGTTGTGCGTAGCGTCTTGGCTGACAGTGCCCAGAGAGCGACATGATGACTAAGGAGTCATAAATGCTCAATGCGCATTGCTTCTACAATGCTGATATGTTCGCTGATATTTTATATATATATATATATATATAAGCTGCATATGACGGGCAGATGGCATATAACTGACATAAGGTTAGGAAATATTCACCTGTATTTAACCCTATTCCTGGCGGGCTCCGCCGGGACAAGAAACTGGCGGGGGGGGGGGGCCGATTCGGCCCCCCCCCTGAGATCTCGAGAACGAAGCAAGATAGCGACAAACGGTAAACGGCATCGGATACGCACGGTCAAGATCTACAATTTTTACTAAGGTCATTTTCAGGTCAGGTCAAAGATGACGTCACAGGGGTCGAAAAAGTCAAAATGGCGGCGCTAAATATGGAGAGAGTTTTTCTCGAATAACTTTCGAATTAGTCAAGATAGGAACAAACTAAGGGCATCATCGTGATCCTCTCGTCAATCCGCATCGAATGATATATATGTTGACCTCGCAAGGTCAAGGTCAAAGGTTGACCTCAGGTCACGTGACCTCGAGGTCATCATGTATATCATTCGATGCGTCTTGACGAGCTGAACACAATGAGACCATCCACGCGTCTGTATCTTGTTCCTGTACGGAGTTATTGGCCAAAAACCTTTGGTGACCTTTGATGACGTCACATGACCTCACAGCTGCCCAACAGCAAAACAGACCTCAAGGTAGTGAAGGTTGATCGTATATGAAGTCATGTATGGTATATGGGGCCATTCCGACCCGTTTTAGTGGTAAAAACAGGGAGTTGATTTTTCCCCCATTGACTTATAATGGGGAGGTCGCGAAACTGACCTGACCTTAGGTCACCGATATCAAAATTCCGAGATATACAAATTGCACATACTGGTACCCTAACTAAAGCCTGAAGAGAAGAAATTGATCGGTCAAAAACTCTAGCTCTGGCGTGATTGCAAACTTTTCTGAGGTAGGGTCACCAAACCGCCTCTGGTGACCTGACCTGAGGTCAGATCAACTCAAAATTTTCAGACATGTTGCGTAGAAGCCTTTTAGGAAAAGTCAGAAAATTTGAGCTTCCTAGCTCAACGCGTTTGGGAGAAATAACCAAAAAACCTCAGGGGGGGGGGGGCTCCTGAGGCCCCCCCCCGCCAGGAATAGGGTTAAAGCCTATGGCGTTGCAGATAATGCGATAATGGGATGTCGGATGTCACCAAGTAGCTGCCGATTTGTACATCGCTATGCAACCATCGAACAACGCAATAATAAGTTAATTGCCTGAGCTTCACATCATACGGCTCGCTCGTATTTCAAACAGATACCCTACATCGAAAATCGTATTTGTTAGGAATCGTTAACGTTTGTTCGAAGCATTCGACTGAGTAGTAGGTTGAGGAGTGATGGTCCTCTTGGTCCTATATACAAGAGTCAACAAGAGCCTAACATTTACTTGACCGTCTGCTGCAATTGACTCATAGCACGTGAAGCGTCAGCGAAATTCATAGTCCTTCACAGGTGGCAGGGGCGTCGTTTGTACAGAGGTCGCTGATGGGCACGGGTCAATGCCGCAGTCGTGGGCGGAGCCTAATGTCATATGACGTAGAAAGCCTCTATCCAGGATGGAAAAACAGTTAACATTACGAGTCAATGACAAGTGCCTGAAATATTGAAATGGCGATAAAATATCTAAATTGTAAAAGTTTCGGCCTGTCTTGAAACGGCCATGTCCTGAGCTTGGTTGAAATTCCTTCACGCATTTAAAAGTAATCGCGAAAAATTAGGGTCTCAAGGGGTCTGGCGTTAACAGTAGGTAAATAATTGTTTCCTCTTGAGAAAAGGAGCCGGAGTCGCCCCCTTTTTTGACGGCTCCGGCTCCGGCTCCGGCTCCGGGCTATATTGTTTCACGGCTCCGGCTCCGGCTCCGACTCCGGGCAAAATATGCCGGCTCCGGCGGCTCCGGCTCCGGCTCCGGCTCCGGCTCCGCATCCCTGTATCAAAGTATACAAGATGCAGTCGAAAGGCTGGGCTGAATCCACTACCAAATTTTGTGTTCGATCATAAAAAGAGGATATTGTCATATAGCTTTCTGTTTGTAACAAAATATATGCAGGCCTTTACAAAAAAAAAACAATAAAAAACAAATAGCATATCTTAATTATGATTAATGTGTATGTTTACATATGACACGACACAGATAACAGTAGTAGGGGAAAGTGGGGTAAGACGGGCACCTTAACTTTGGAGCCATTTTTCGGCCGGTTAGAAACATCATAGAAACGGGAAACTGGGTGAAAACCTTTTTCAGACATTTTACTTTCATTTGCCAGAAGATGAGACTTAGACCTGATTCAACAAATAAACTGCAGCTATTTTTGCAAAACCTTGCAAAAACCCGTCTTACCCCACCCCATGGGGTAAGACGGTCACATGGGTAGGGCAAGACGGCCAGCTTCTTTCACCGATCAGCGCAGCTCGCAACAAATGCCCGAGATTAGCCGCATTTATACAGTCGCTCGTTGGTCTCAAGTGCTTCGGAAATGGCAGTATACGAGATTCGTGCAGAAGGCGTATGCTCCTATATAGGCCCTAGTTCAGAAGCCATGTAGAACCGTTTTTCACATTCATTATTCGAGAATAAACTGTGCCGAAGGAATATTGCTAACATGTCTGTGAGTATCGGAATCGAACATATTCTTATTAGAAATGCTTCTTTTTTCCTACAGCAACAAAAATATTTTCACCATTACAGACCCATTGGGTTCATAGTTGCCCGTCTTACCCCAAACTCAATGTCAGAAGTTCAGCACGATTTTTCGCTGTGGACAATTTGATGCAGACAAAGCAAATCCGCCGTAAATGAACACTGTTGGCATATGAGTGTACCACAAGTGATTGCGAGTTTTTAACTCTATAGTGCTGTACACAAAAGCTTGCACAATACATTATGGATGTTTTCAATGAAATGAGTGTTTTAAAGAAATCAAAATAAAAGATTATCGACTGAACACAAATTCACCAGACTTGAATGGTGGTGTGTAGTGGGAAAGGCAATTCTGGTCCTAACTTTTCTTGCTCGTAGCGCTATTGGTTTGGTCTGCAGAAGGGGTGCCCGTCTTACCTACCCTGACCGTCTTACCCCACTTTCCCCTACTACTGTTATCTGTGGACGCGATTATATATACTTATAAAATTACACACAGTTGGGCCAGACCCCAGCACCACCCAACTCGACCCATACTAATATGGAACAGGAGCCCCTGGCACTGAGCCAGCTGTGGTGGCATTGACTGGACGGCCAATGCCGGGTCAAGGTCAAGGCTCCGCCCGCGGCACCGGGGTCGATAATCAATGGCGGGTTGATGTGCCAGATGACCACTCTCAGAGACACTGAATGAGCTGAGATGGATACTGTGGCAATAACCCGCGCCCCCTGGGGGACGGTAAAATCTGCCCCCTCCCGTTTTTCGCCAATAGCCCCTAAGCACGTTCAGCCAAAATCGCCAAACTTTTAGTACCTTAGTATACATCAATTTTACATTTTCCCTTAAAATTTAAGTGAATCCGTCTAAAATTTGTTAAGAAAATAACGTTTTAGTGACGTCATGCCACGCCATTTCGCTTAATAAATACCTGAAAATTTCAAACACCCATACAGTTTATATCAAGGATCAAGACGTAACGAAAAATATCTACGTGATTTCACTTTGTCCTTATGCAAATGGCTACCTTATTTTTGAAAATGTCTTGTTTCAACCAATGTTTTTCTTAAAAACTGATTTTTTTTGCAAAATCGTTGAACAATCCAAACTTCGTGGTTTATTGAAGAAAAACCATAATACAGGTACTCATATGTGAGACAAGTACTGCCTGTGAGTGTGTATCTATGTTCTAACTTTTAGAAGAATCGGCAAAAAAGTTAACGAGTTATTTCAATTTTAAGCATGTCACGACGCACCAAATTTTCAAACGTTTTGAAGTTGTGAACCTCGTACAGAAACAAAAATATAGCACCATTAGATTTGCGTGATTTGCATCAGATATACACCTTTTTTAGTATTGCCAATAAACTTTAAAGTTTGATCTCACTTGACCTTGACCTCACATTGACCTGCCCACGACCTGAACTTCATCCAACTACCTATGGTCCATATTGAGTATGCCTATTGAATTCTATGAATAAAATGACCCTTAAATCATATGTCACATATATATCATTTGACAGTTTTCCGTAACCCGGATATGTAGTATCTAAACCGTATTTAATAGAAAACATCTATCTTCGTCAATCTTCTGCGTTTAAATCGTTATTAGTCAGGACGTAAAAACATGCCACAAGATGAAGGAAAAACAGAACAAAAAGCAGATCACCGGGTCAGCCATGGTAATCAGCGTCGTTTGAGAAGAAAACCGCGCCCAGACATCCGCAATGCGGCTCTATCATCGGTTTGTATTCGCTTATACTACTGTTTTCTTAGCAAGTCTTGTCATCGTGTTTACAAGTGGGAGGTCACGGCCTGGCCGGCAGGCTTTCGGTCCTAACTGAAGTAAAGTAACATTGACACGCGGTCTGGCCGTGTTCTGTCGTCACAGTCTGCTGAATTGGTACACAGAACGGAACATAACTGGCCGCATATTGCGTCGAATGCCATGAGCAATGAGCGTCTGAGAGTGAAACAAGTGACAAAGTCTGGACTTTGGATGCTATCATTCACAACTCGCAATGGGACAACAGCATACAAGCATAGGAGTACGCAGGCGAGACCGACAAATTTAGCTAACTGTATTTTGTTGTATGTAGTTTTGCCCTGCCTTCTTGTTTTACCTTTTAGCTCACCTGGCGGAAAATTACGAGAACCGGTAAGGTGCTTATCTCACAAACGGGCAATATCTAATCGAGCTAGCGTTAAGACTAGGTATATCAGACCTTCGCTTCCAAATTCAGCCCCGTCGCTCCCCAAACGCTCCATTTTTACATAAATTGCTTACTCGAGGTCATCTTTCTCCATTCCGATCGTCACATCTTTCACACATCCCTCACACATCTCTCACACATATCTCACACACCTCTCACACACCTCTCACACATCTCTCACACAACACATCTCTCACACATCTCTCACACACTCACCTGACCGGAGACGAACGCCGAAACGAGCAGGCCGGTGAAGGCCATGAGGGCACCGCAGCACGCGGTGCGACGCATGCCCACATGATCAGCCAGCACGCCGGACGCGGCCGACATCAGAAACGTTAGGCCCGTGCACAGCGAGCCCGCCAGAGCTGTCGGGCAGGGGGGGGGGGACGTCACTGGAGGCGACTTTGAGCTGTGCATGTGTCAAAAGAGGCAGTGCGGCAGACAGTGATATCGTTATGTTCCGGGAACCTGGATTACTTTCTATAATAAATTGCAACGGTCAGCGGCAGGGGCGGATCCAAGGGGGGGTCACATGGGTCATGGCCCCCCCCTTGAGGCCCGGGGGCCCAAAGACCTTCCAGGGGCACCACCGGCCTATCAGGGGTATCACAGTCCTGACAGGGGCACCACAGGACCGCCAGGGGCACCACAGGCCTAGCAGGGACACCACGGGCCTGGTGCCCCTGGGCCCTGACAGGACTGTAACGCCCCTGACAAGCCTGAAGTGTCCCCGGCAGGCACGTGGTGCCCCTGACAGGCCTGAGGCGCCCCTGAAAGGCCGGTGGTCCCCTGGCAGGCCTGTGGTGTCCATGGCAGGCCTGTGGTGCCCTTGCTAGGCCTCTGGTGCCCCTGACAGGCTTGTAATGCCCCTGGAAGGACTGTGGTGCCCCTGGGCCCTGACAAGCCTGAGGTGCCCCTGACAGGCCAGAGGTGCCCTTGCTAGGCCTGTGGTGCCCCTGGCAGGCCTCTGGTGCCCCTGACAGGCTTGCGGTGCCCTTGGAAGGACTGTGGTGTCCCTGGGCCCTGACAAGCCTGAGGTGCCCCTGACAGGCCCGTGGTGCCCTTGTTAGGCCTGTGGTGCCCCTGGCAGGCCTCTGGGGCCCTTGCTAGGCCGCTGGTGCCCCTGGCAGGCCTCTGGTGCCCTTGCTAGGCCAGAGGCCTGCCAACCCGTCGGACTGACAACGATTTGCTTACCTGCTAGGCCGCTGGTGCCCCTGGCAGGCCTCTGGTGCCCCTGCGCCCGGAGAGGACTGGTGCCCCTGAAAAGTCTGAAGTGCCCCTCGGCAGGCCCGTCGTGCCCCTGACAGGCCCAAGGTGCCCCTGCGAGGCCGGTGGTGCCCCTGGCAGGCCTCTGGTGCCCCTGGCAGGTCTGTGGTGCCCCTGGCAGGTCTGTGGCGCCCCTGGCAGACCTGTGTTGACTGGTGCCCCTGCTAGGTCGCTGGTGCCCCTCACAGACCTGTGGTGCCGCTGGGCCTTGACAAGCCTGAGATGCCTGGCTATGACAGGCTCGTGGTGCCCCTGATAGACCAGTGGTGCCCTTGCTAGGCCTGTAGTGCCCCTGGCAGGCCTCTGGTGCCCCTGCTACCCCTGCGCCCTGAGAGGACTATGGTGCCCCTGAAAAGCCTGAAGTGCCTCTCGACAGGCCCGTGGTGCCCCTGGGCCCTGACAGGCCCAAGTTACCCCTGCGAGGTCGGTGGTGCTCCTGGCAGGCCTCTGGTGCCCCTGGCAGGTCTGTGGTGCCCCTGGCAGGCCTGTGTTGACTGGTGCCCCTGCTAGGCCGCTGGTGCCCCTCACAGGCCTGCGGTGCCCCTGGAAGGACTGTGGTGCCCCTGCCCCTAGGGGTGCTCATGGGCCCAACAGGCCCGTTGTGCCCCTGACAGGCCTGTCGTGTATACTTGCTAGACCTGTGGTGCCCCTGCTTCCTGACAGGCCTGTGGTGCCCCTGGCGGGCCTGTGGCGCCCCTACAAGGCCGTAGGTGCCCCTGACAGGTTTGTGGTGTCCCTGGAAGGACTTTGGTGCCCCTGACAAGCCTGAAGTGTCAAGGACAGACCCTTTAGACGCCAGGGTCAAGTTCGTCGGACTGACAACGATTTGCTTACCTGATAACGTTCCTGGTAAGTACTCATTACTCAGCGTCCACAACATATATACACATAGCACATTCATATATACTTGCTTACAATTGGTAAATGTGGTTGTGGCTAAGAGGTAAGATACTGACTAAAATTAAAAAATAAAAATAAAAAACTGAAAATGGGGGCACCACCATAATGAAGTGGACGAAATCCGTTGAGTTTTTAATTTTGGGTATAGGTAGCAGGGCATATTTTAACAAATTTTTACTGCGTCCCAAAGTTGAGCAGAGGGCACGTGCTACTACTAAGGGCACAGGGCAAGGAACAGAGTAGGGCACTGAGGAGGGCAGAAAGTAGGGCACGGCAGGTTACAGGGCATGGCACAGGACATTTTAGAGGGAAGGGTACAGGTCAGGGCACACAGCAGGGCACAAGTCAGGGAACCGGACAGGGCACAGGGCAGGGACGCAGTGGGTCAAATCAGCAGGGGCTATGTCCCAAGGCGAGGGGGCTGCGTCCCAGAATGGGACGCAGTAAGTGCCTTAAAATATGCCCTGATAGGTAGGGGCACCACTTCGATTCATGACCCTCCCCTTGGAGTTTTCCTGGATCCGCCCCTGGTCAGCGGTACCATATATGAATTAATTACAACGGTCAACTCCAGACATTTGTGAATGACGGTCGTCCGTAATCTGTAGGTAAGCATGAAAGTGCGGAGGTGCCGTGCGTTGACTCGGTCGGCGTCGCATTCACGGCCGACCCAGCCTAGGTGTAAGGGCTGCCTAGTGGTCTCTACGTGGGTGATCAATCGACAGAAATAGCCTGCATTCACTTCGCGGTCGATAGATTCGTTTTGCTCGGCTCCCGCACGTGTTGTCTCACTTGGTCTGCAATCTTTGTTGCGGCGGCCGCGACAGGCACAATCACAGCGGGCAACTGTTATCGTGACAGGATTTGTCCGGCCATAACCTTACCTCTAATGACAGGATTAATGCACATACGTGCATTGGGTAAGTACTAAGCAGCCATTTCACACCTCATTGCTGCTTGCTGGCATCATACACACATCATCACATGAACTGAACCTAAGTATAAACGTAAATATCGTGGACTTTTGTCTCCGAAGTGCATTTTCGCAGAAAAGAGGCAACCATCAGAAGTGAGTACCCACCAAGGCTTTAACCCGCGCTCTGCTGGGGGTCCTGGATTTCCACGCCCTGCTGGGGGGGGGGGGTGTTTGAACACCCCCCCCCCTTGTAACTCGGCTCCTGGGCCACGTAGCGATACGCGGAAGGCGGCGTTCGAAAGAGCGTAAAAAATAATGACGAAATCACTTCGGTCAATTTTTTGTTCAGGTCAAAGGTAAGGTCACCAGAGGTCATTGAAGGCAAAATTTCGCCGATTTGCAGGTCAAATGTCGAAAATTTCCAAGAAGCCAACGCATAACTCGGGAACCAATAAAGCTACAGCGCCGCGGAAAAGCGCATTCGAAAGCCCTATTAACGCCCTTTCTGAGTAATCTCTCAGATTTGACCTAACGTCAACGGTTTTGCCTGCAAGGGGCAAAAACTGCAAAAATAGCCGATTTTTTCGAAAACAGTTTTTCTGCAATAACTTTTGACCCAAGCATTGTACGAGCTTACTTTTACCGGCATCGTGTTCCTCTCGTCAAGACGCATCGAATGAACTATAACTTGACCTTGAAAGGTCAACTTGAAAATTTGACCTCAGGTCAAGGTCATGACCTGACCGGAAAGGGTCATGTTGCATATCAGTCGATCCGTATCGTCGAGCTGAACACATCTAAGGCGTTTTCATCGCTCTAGCATGCCTCTATCAAAAGTTATTTGCGAAAAACTGTTAGATACCATTCGTGACCTAAGATGACCTCAGGGCATAAACAAGGGTCACGGACACCATTTTCAAGTTCAGTGTGTCTAAACCACTTGTAATTCGGTGTTTGGGAGTGTTTATAATGTCTTTCATCCAAAAGAGGCGCATTTCAATTTTCTCCCATTGACTTATAATGGGGAGGTCGCAAAATTGACCTGACCTTAGGTCATCGATATCAAAATTCTGAGATATACATTTTGTACATGCTATTGCTCTTAGCAATCGCTGAAAGTTTCAAAGCGATCGGTCACTCGGTGTAGCTATGACAGACATTGAAAGTTTTTATGAGGTGAGGTCACTCCAAGTGACCTGGTGACCTGACCTTGAATGACCTTGGTCTGAAATTTTCACAACATGTGTAGAATTGATGTATGATAAGGTGTACCAAAAACGGCGGCGCTCCGCGCCGCCGTTTTTGAGATATTCGCGAAAAACCACAAGGGGGGGTGTTCAAACACCCCCCCCCAGCAGGGCGCGGGTTAATGTGGTTCGCATCGTAAACGATAAAAAACTGTTCTTGACCAGCGAGTAAGTCATAACATGACTGCGTTAAACACGATTAGAATTACATTATCAGTTGAATGGTACACAAATCTGGTAAGAAGTTCTCAGGAGTGTTACGTCTGTCAGTCGGAGATTAAGTGTCCCCCACCGTTCCAACCAGCTGTTCTCAGGCTCGGCAAACCCGACACTCCCCCATTATCGTTTACAATCCCTTAAGGTCCGTGACTCACGGGCCGTGTTTAATTGCCGACTGTGCTCCGTGATCCGTGGAATGCAGCTGTGGTCTTGTCTGACGTGACCTATAAAACCTACATGCATCTGATGCTCTGACGGGGACGTCGTCGAGAACGGGGACACTATTGCCTGTTGACCGTTTAACCTGTTTCTTTGTAATTTGTTGTATAAATATTATATTTTACGGTTTACGGCCCATGCAGGCCGCCCGTGCTATGCTCTGTGACCCTTGCGCTGTTCTCTACACTTGTCGTTAGTCCTGTTTTGTCTCTAGCCATGTCGCTTCCCAAGGCCACGATCAATGGTCCATCATCCATGTTCGGTGCCGTCCTGTATCGGCCCTCGCCATTGACCGGGGTCCGGGATGCGAGATAATGACTGTTCCGACCCCGGGGCAGGCTAATAGAGCCAGATTGGGGCGGACGCAGGAGATGAGTTCGTATTGGGTATTGAGTATTGGGTATTCTATATAGCCCGGCGGGTCAGCTATTCCAGGAAGGTCGACACGGAGGAAACATCGTAACAAAAATCAACGGTCACGAAGTAATATTGCAGCAAGCAGTCGCATTAAAAACTAACCAAAGACAAAAAATGCACCAAAAATGTTTCAGATCATTCACGTCAGGTTTTTTTTTGTATGTGTTCGTGAAATATTTCTGGCATATTCATGCACAATGAAATAGGTATGCTCAAAGTACATGATGCATGTACGCCTCAACGAAGATCTGACCACGGATTTGACCAGTCGAACATTTCAAGAAATTTGTTACCCGGCCCAGTTGGGCGTATTCGACATGAAGCTCTTATAGTTATATATGGCAGCCGTTCAATACGTGGGCACCAGCACCGACGCACGAAGAAATTTTGAATAATTTGGTCTGAAGGATATTGGGTGTCTTTTGCCTAACTCAAGATCCCAGCTCCCTGCAACGTAGGGATCGTTGTACTGGTTGATCTGGATTAGACTGGGCGATCAGGATAATACCGGAATAGGAATGGGACAAAATGCGCACATTACATTCGGCTTGCATAACCAAACGGTTCAACGGACGGTGTTATCTCCTGCTATAAACATGTATTGATATAAGAACAGCCGTGGCGATAAGTGTGTGATGATATCTTGGAGAGCGTGTAAAGTCTGCGCCTTTGGCGGCGATCAGTGTGAATGACACTTGACGTGCTCAAATACTTAGTTATGAGCATGGAAGGCAAGTCGTAGGAACGAAAGCGGTGATAAACCTGCTTGAATATTTTCACCAAAACCAAAGATTTAAGTTTTAAACATTTAAAATACGAAAAAAAAAGAATATTTAACACCAAGCTCCGAACAGATGACCTTCTGTTATTACCGTCGAGTCACTGGCAGCTTAAACGTAACAAATGTTGGGAAACCTGTGAAAAGCATGGTCCACCGTTTTAACAGTATTCGCACATCGCCCTGTACAGTGTACACGCCACAAACACACGGATTAACCGTTAAAATTAACTTGTGATTATCTCTCACATTTTAAATGTTCAAGAGCCCTTGAAATGCTCAGAGCTATGCATCACATTGCGCACAATGCACAGTGACGCCTGAGGTTACTGACCGGGGTTGACCGAGTGTTTATTGTTCATGTTCCGCCGCGGTGACGGTCTGTCGGTCAGCAGTCGGCCTGTAAGAACGACCAGACTTTGGTAATTTGGATTTTGGGCCCGAAATTGTTTTCACTTTTTACAAACGACCTTGAATCACACTTGCCTTTTGGAAAACAAGTAATGTATGCCGATGACGTGCAATTTTTAGATTCTGATGCTGTCGAAAACTTAACCACTCTAAAACAGCGAGTCGAAGACACGCTAGAACTGGCGCTCAAATGGTATACGCAAAATAGATTGAAGATAAATCCTGGTAAAACTGAGCTGTTGATCATCAAGTCACAAAAGAAAAAACTTGATCACCATTTTTCTATCAAATTCGGAAACAGCGAAATCTCACCTTCCCCGTGCGCCAAAATTCTTGGAGTATTCATTGATTCTGCACTTACATGGGAGAGGCAGGTGTCACAGGTGATCCGCCGCTGCTACTCTGTTCTGATCGGGCTGTCCAAGTTGAGACACAAGCTGCCATACGAGACTAAGAAGCTGCTGGTTGAGGCGCTCGTTTTCCCGCACATCAATTACTGCTGCACTGTGTGGGGAGGATGTACTGCCTCCCAAAAGCACCGTATCCAGAAGGCGATCAACTTCGCGGCACGCGTCGTCACAGGACTGGCCCGACGGCAGCACGTCACTCCTGCTCTGCAGGCGCTTGGATGGCAGCGTTTCGAGGGCATGCTTGAGAAACGGGATGTGGCTCTTATACAAAGGCTGGTCTCGCTTGACGCGCCGCCTGCACTGGCCCAAGTTGTACAGCGTCGCTCGGACGTGTCACAGAGACACACCCGATGCTCCCACGGACATCAGTTGGAGCTACCTAAAATTAAGAGTGAGCGAGCGAGGTGCTGTTTCCCTTACAGATCTGTGTCCACGTGGAACAGCGTTGGCGGGGTCGGCAGCGGATGAAAAACCATGTATTTTAGATGTCTTTTATTTCTTTTGGTGTTTAGTGTTTCGCTATTGCGTTGATTTTAGCCTTTTATGTACGTACTGCGTAATGATTCACGTGTTTGTCAGCGAATTTTAATACTTGTATGTACACGACGAGAGGGCTGAAAAGCCATTTAAATGGAGACCTCAATACACTGGATTTGGATTTGGATTTGGATTTGGTACTAAGTTTGTGCGGCTGCCTACTTAGCCGTCAGACGTTTTCCGCATCATGCCTGGAGAAGAGACCTGTGTTGTGCGGTGGACGGTGTCTGAGCCATAAATGGCATCTTTAGTTTAATTGTTTCAGGCTGAGCTATCAGTGTTTGGTAATCTGGAGATTTAACAGCTACACGAACGGACAAACAGCCAGATTTACTAGAATTTACGGCATGTTTCCAGGAATGATAAGCGACCATCTGACCGCCCCATGTTAGGGCTCGGTTTCTTTTTACATTCGTGTGTTCATAACAAAGCGATATTATAAAAAAGTCGTTTTCACTATGGGCTATCTGGCGAATGCACCAAATTTAACCAAATCTGCATCATACTTCTTTTATTACAAATAGGTACCTTTCTTCATATCATGAATTTATTTCAGTGTTAAATCGAAAATAAGGTGTGATAATATGGAAAAAAGGTATATAAGCATCTGTGCAACCCAAACTAATACCTTAAAAAAAAACACAATGAAATTATGACCAAATCTGCACCAAATCTGCACCTAATCTACACCAAATGTGTACCAGATGGCCGTCGTAAAAACGGCTATTGTCTACTTCTTTCTTAGCATGTAAGGAAAATTGTCAGCCCTTGAGGTCGAATATCTTGGACACATGGCAATCTTCCATCAATGCCAGCCGGTAAGTTTCAACAAAAGCATGACAGTGCCTCTATTCTCAGTGTCTCGTTTTTCAATGGTCATGCCATGGCGTTTACAGATTTAGAAAGCAGTTGAGGGAATGAGTGCTGATGATCGGCGCTCTCATGAGACAAACGCCGCCGGTCTCAATTTGACCTGGCGCTTGGTCTGAGACAGATAATGCCTATTGCCTAAACAGCATTGTTTAGTACACGCTAATACATTGCTGACGGGACTGACTAGCGTGCTCGCTCAAAACAACCAAGCTGTCAATCAACAGTCAGCACTGCATGCACTCTGTCAACTGGCACAGATGATGTCGTCACGGCCCCACACCGGTGGTGGCGTGAGAGTATCAACCAGTGTACTCACAGCACTTGAAGGCGGCGTTGGCCACGCCGGCCGTCTCCATCTGCTCCAGGAACGAGACGTAGAGCACGCCGTAGCAGTTGATGATGCCGAAGATGACGCCGTTGCAGAGGAAGCTGACCAGTACCACCAGCCAGGCGCGCAGACCGCCGTCGACCGGCGGGTGCACCGCCACCGGCTTGGTCTCCTCGGGGGGCTGTTTCTCCGGTAGTGGCTTCGTCAGGCGCGTCATCTCCGAAGGAGCCGGAGAGTGCCGCCCGGAGGTCTGAGGCGGCATGGCTGGTAGCGGACGGTTGACGGTTGACTGTTATCGGTCGGCTATCGGGATTTAGTAGGGAGTTGCTGGTGGAGGGTAATTATTTAAGGACCGACGACTGACGACTGACGGATGACGGCTGGGTAAAATTGTTAACTGACGACTGACGTCGTATCTGACGTCCAACGAATGGCACCTGACGGCTGACGAGTGACGGCTGATATCTGATGCTTCAACTGGCCGATAGCAAACGAAAACCCCCAATGCCTCCAGCCTCCAACCGTCGATCCTTCGAGGAGGCGCCGGCCCAGTCTCCCAGCCGTCGGGGCCCACTGGACGACGAGCGATCGATGCTTGGTGTCGGGTCACCGGCGGACCAGCCACCACTGACGTACCGGCCGCAGCCCGCGCCGACGAGAGCCGCAGCGCCCCGTCCGCGCCCCTTCTCCCCCCCCCCCCCCCCCCGGCGAGACACCGACGGAAGGTCCGGGCGCCTCCCCCGCAACGCCGGGCTGGTAAAGGTATTCGTATGCGTATCATTTAGGTAACAGTAGCACCTCATATTAAAAAATAAAGGAATAACGTTCGACAGAATGGATAAACTGGGCGCGCTTAGTTCTTATTTAAATTGCCTTTTCGAAACTTGTTTTCGGCATCAAAATTAATTTGTTAATATCGAAAGTCCTTAAATAATAATCAAACATTTCTTGAACGAAAGTCTGTCCCGTATACGGGACTGAGTTGAGGAGTTGAGGAGTTGAGGACCTAGCTCAGTTGACAGCTGATAAAGCGTTGGATGGACTCCCGGCAGTGAGAGCCCAAGTTCGTGTCGATCCGGCGCTCGATATTTTACACTACTGACGGGGAAAAATCAATTGGCGCTATCTTGCTTCTGGGAGAAAACTTTTTACGTTTGAATGATTCATGCTTGATTATCTCGCGGGTTTTAGAGGTATATTTTGCCCCTATGAAATTAAGTAAATTTCCGGCTACATCTTCTTCGTCTCAAGCTTTTAACCCTCGCCGGACCTATTGGTTTTCTACATACGCGCCGGCCGAGGGGGGGGGGCGGGTACGACCCCCTCTCGCCGTTTCGCCCCTGGTGGAGCTAGCGCGTCGCGGAAAAAAAACAAGCGTGTGCGCCGTTACGAGACGCAGAGATTGGTACCCGATTTTAAGGTCTTAGGTCAACCGGTGACCTCTGAGGCCAGGTCAAGTGCCCCAGGGTACGGTTCTGTTTTTGGTGAATAACTTCGCAAAAAACGGCCGCAGAGCCGCGATTTTGGCAGCATCGTGTTCGCCTCGCTCAGGCGCGTCGAATGATATACTTTTTGTTCGGGTCAGGTCAACTTAGGGTGTTGACCTCAGGTCAAGGTCAGGTCAGCACCCCCAGGTCACGAAGTTGGTCGAAAGAGGTCATGTCGCATATCATTCGATTCGGCAGGTCTTCCTGAGTCCATTGGTGGCTTTCTCGACTCGCTAGCTCAATTTGATCAAGAGTTATTGACGAAAAACTAATATGACCTTGATGACGTCATAAATGACGTCACGGAAGGTCAACATTGCAAAAGTGACGCACCTAACCTTGCAAGGAGTGCATCAAATCACGATTCTGTGTGCTTGAGATATTGGAGATCGTTCCCGGCGCCAGAATAGCAGTTTGAATTTTTCCCCATTGACTTATAATGGTGAGGTCACGAAAATGACCTGACCTCATATGACCTTCAGGAAAAATCCGAGATATACAAGTTGTGAGAATCATAATGGATACTAGATCCTGCAAGTTTCATTTCCCTGTGACATCTCCTCTGGCAGTGAGGGCGTTGCGAAGTTGCGACGTCTGAAGACCGTGCAGAGGTTCACTTATGACGTCATAGGTCAGTGACCTGACCTGACCCAAAAATGCAGTTGGTGTCAAAAGATGCGGCTTGGATCAAAGGTCAGGTATGCCAAGTTTCAGCTTTCTATCGCCAGCGTGTTCGGAGCTATCGCGAAAAAAAAACTATGGGGGGGGCGGCACCCGCCCCCCCTCGGCCGGCGAGGGTTAAGGGTTGAAGATGCGATCCATTTATTCGTACACATTGTTCCCGCATTACAATTTGCTTGCGGGTTTCCCCAGGAATAGCGCGGCGAACGCGGCCCTTGATTTGTTTGCGTGGCGCACTGCGCGTCGTGGCCAGTGATTCGGCCCTTAAGTGCTAGGGTGTTTTTTACGGGATATTCTGTTCCCGTCCTGTTCAGCATTTCTTTTTTTATCAAAAATAGCCTTGTCTTTGCGTGAAATTGAATTCTGGTGGATTTAGTCTCGACAGCTTTTCGTCTCATTCGTCTCACTCTGCCCGAGCGGCTTCCCACTATTAAAGCAAGATTCCACGGTGAGTCTGCTTTCCCTCCTCTTCACGTCTTCATTTTTTGTTGACTACTCTTTGGCAAGACTTGTAATTTCCTCACAAGATTATCTCGCTTTTTGGTGTCGTTCTCTCCAGCTATGCCAGCCATGTTCTCCAAGGCGGTTACCGCTACTGACGAAGGTCAGTTCCTTCCCACTGGACCTGCTTACCTCCTCGTGAGATTTAAGGAAAAAAACCAAAGCTTTCGGAACTTCAGCCCTTACAAAATTCGAGATGAGCTCCTGGACGTGATCCATTATGCAGCTGCTAAGGTTTCTGCACTTCGAAGCGGCTCTCTGCTTGTCAAAACGAGGGACATGTACCAGGCCGAGGCTCTGCTAGCCTGGAGGTCATTCAGGGGGGAGGACATCTCTGTGATTCCAGCAGACCGCCTAAACCAGGTGGAGGGGATGGTCTATGCCCCTGAGCTCTCAATGGAGTCTCCTCAAACCATACTTGAGGAAAGCCGTGACCAGGGTGTCACAAGTGTCACACGCCTCCCTTCAAAAAATTCCAGACCGAACCCACTGCTCAAGGTGAGGTTTTCGGCCACACAGCTGCCTGAACACCTTTATGCAGTGTACATGCGCTATGAAGTCAGGCCATCTCACCAGCTGCCTCGGCGCTGTGGCAAGTGCCAGCGTTATGGACACGGACAAGGCACATGTAGGTCTCGTGCTGAAATATGCAAACGTTGCTCAGAGGAGCATCCGTCTACAGGGTGTGTCGCCCCTCCCCACTGTGCTGCATGCAATGGACCGCACCCAGTGACTGACAAGAACTGTCCCGTGTGGGTTGCAAAGGTGCAGGAGCTCCGCGAGGCCACACAACGCAGATCTGGACACGTGGCTGGCACCCACGGTGGGTCACCCCCCATGACCCAGCCCAGCACCTCCCACCACGAGGGAGTCCCGCGCCATGTGGGACAAACACAGGCTCAGATATCCCAGGCTGCAAACCGCCCACAGGACTGGCCAGAGCTCCCACCCCCTCGGGATCTGCCCCATGTCGCACGTCACGCAAAGCTGACGCCACCAGCCCGCAAAGACACGAGCCCGCCAGACCACCCAAGCACCCATGCTCGGAAGCGCACGGCCGCGACGCCGGAACTCGCTCGGTCTATCGATGTAGGCTGCGCCCGGTCGACACCGACACCCAAGACAGTCCACCCTGACTCTCCCACCGTGGTTGATCAGCGAGAAACAGGCCCGCACAAAAGTGGTGGGACACGACACCAGGCCCAAACACCAGGCACCTGTGAAATGTCCCCCAGCAACCCAACTGGCGTCTCCGTAGTTACACCACTCCACCGGACAAGGGCTACAGATTCCGACGACGACACATGCTATGATGCCAATACGACGAGCGAGGACGAGGAGACCCCCAAAATGGTCGCCGTGTCTTCCGTCCTGCGATCGCCATCAGTCATTGATGACAGCGATTCCGACACTCAGCTCACCCTCCATGCAGAAGGCCCCAAAACTCGCCTCCGAGCACGCTCAACAAAGGAGAGGAAAAATGTGGGCCTTCGTACCCAGGTCGTGACCAGACGATCCTTCATCCCAGAATAGCGCGCCAAACAAACTAGATAGCTGCTGCAATGGATTTTTTGCTTCAATGGAATGTAGGAGGACTTCTATCCCATTTGTCTGAATTTAAACAGTATATACAAAAGGAAGCTCCTCTTCTAGCGGCGATTCAGGAAACTCATTTTAAAAGCACAGATCATTACAATTACAATGTGGCTGGATATACTTTGTACAGACAGGACATAAATCTAGCAAATAGACAGGGTGGCGTAGCTCTTTATGTAGCAAACTCAGTGTCACAACGGAAAACAAACATAGCTTCCCCGCTAAATGTTGTAGCAGCTACTGTTTCACTACTAAACCGCGAGTTGTTGGTTGTTTCAGTGTATTTGCCGCCAAATGCAACTGTTGTAAACCAGCAAAATCTGAATGACCTTCTAGAGCAAATGCCAGAAAATTGCCTTCTGCTCGGCGATTTCAATGGTCATAGTCCACTATGGGGCAGCCGACACTTATCGCCGAGAGGCAGGATAATTGAAGCTGCACTAAACCGCCAGTCCCTTGTAGCTATGAACGACGGCAACCCAACGTTTGTCAGTAGTAGCTACCACACAACCTTTGCAATTGACTTGTCAATTTCTTCCCCGAGGATCGCACCGCTCTTTAGATGGACCGTAACATCGGATCCGCTGTTTTCAGACCATTATCCAATTCACATCATGCTTACCAGTGCAACCACGCTGTCACCAGCACCGACACTGAAGGTATGGCAAACAAATAACGCGGATTGGTCGGGCTTTAACGCAAAGGTCAACAGACATGCTCCCTACGGCCTGTCTCAGACCATTTCCAATTTTATGGGGGCTATGAAGAAATCGGCCAGTGAAACGCTAAAAGAAAAAACTATTAAGATTGGAACTGCAAATGAATCTAAAAATCTTGTCTGGTGGAACTGGAAATGCCAAAGAGCCAAAGCAATAAGAAAAAGAGCCTTCAGAAACTTCCAGAGATGCATATGTCCCAGACATGCCCAACTGTATACCGCTGCCCGTAAAGAATGTGCGGAAACTATATACAAAGAAAAGAAGGCGGCATGGCAAAACTATGCCGCTAAATGTAATCGTTTTACCCCGCTCAGCGAACTCTGGAGTCATGTTCGTGCTTTCGCCTCACGACGAACTAATTTAGGTGCCTTTCCGCAATTGCTTTCAAACAATATATTCGTAACTGACCCAGTTACCGTCACAAATATATTTGCCCAACACTTTGCCAACACATCGTCTACAGATATTTACTCCTTGAGCGTGCATCGAGCTCTCGTTAATAGAACAGTAAATCTTGATTTTTCTTCTGCAAACTCTGAACCATACAATGCTCCTTTTACCCTAAGAGAACTTAAACTATCCCTAGCAAAGGCAAGCACTAAAACTTCGGTAGGACCAGACTCCATTCCATATTCTTTTTTCACA